TTCTATATTTGTTTCAAACTCTCCCGCTCTGACAAAAACAAAAAACTTTATTGAATGGCATAAACCATCTCTAGATTTATATGGCAAGGGAAACGACCCAGAATACAACTGCTCAAAGAGAATGGTGGTAGGGCCTAGGGCTATGCAATATGAACAAAATCTCATATCCCGATATAACAATTCTATCGTTCCGATAATGATATAAATCACAAAAATGTAACATTTTCTGTAAATTCTGTGACTCTCGGGCAGCTCGACTTGCGAGAAGTGTTTCCAGCTGCGCGTCATGTAGCTAGAGTCGAGTGTTTTAACCGATGCATGAAACTATACATTTTTAGACATAAGTTGTAACGCCCGCCGTTTTCTTTGTGAGTATTTATTACACGGCGTGCTGCGGGGAAAAGCCAGTTCTAACGTTTGAGTCTAAGGTTTATTTATTTAGCACCCGACGGCTCTTTTTTTACTTCTCATCCGTAAATAATCTGCTCTTTCACGTGATTCAGTTTATTTTGAAAAGTCTCAACGGGATCTTGAGCTTTATTGTGAAAGGTTTATGTGGAACATAAACAAGCGGACACGCGATGGTGTTACCGTCGTTGTTGCTAACCACAACGCATAAAAACAGGCGCTTGTCCGTCCATAGTGTGGTTATATTAGATATAAGAGAAAGAGAGAACTTTAAGAAATTCATATAGCCACTACAGTGACCATCAAAACGATGAAAAAATATTACTGTAAACAGTTTATTTTGCGACACCACGAAACAAACGATAGCGTAAAATGAAACGATAGATGTTTTTATATCATCATCCGATATATATCGTTATACTATACTATATTTCAGCAATGCTGCACTGGTGTGATCCATCATATGTAGCAGCATGGAAGGAAACTGAATGCAAAACAATAACCGATATGCATATACAGGCAGTTCTGGCAGATAAAACTCTACAGGACTTGATTGTTAAAACAGGAAATCCATGGGTAAAAGCCACACTAGAGGTTTGGAAAATGGTGATAAAAGAAAATAAGTAGGATATAGATAAATACTTACTGGGTGTGCTGCTGGCTGCATGTAAAAAGGCACTGGCCAAAGGGTGGCTAACACGGGATTCACCAAGATTATGAGTCTTAAAATTAAAGTATGTGTCAAGTGATGTACATTTTATTTCAGGTTTAACTTCAATAAACACTTAAATTAAAAAAAAAGGTATTATCACCTGAATATTACACAGCTGCTGTGTTTTGGTTTTCCCCTTACATTTATGGATCACGGATCACAGACTGCATACTACATAAATAGTTATTTTTAGCTTCCTTCCTCCTGCTTTGTTCTGCTTCCGTCTTTTACCTTCACCAGATGTGAAACAATCCCAGATCGAACGGCTAGAAAGAAAAAGCAGCAAGATTTTGAATCCTGGATTACCAGAGTCAAAGCATCCTGCATTGCGAGCACATGGGAAGCAAGACGTAACCCTCAAAAATAGGTTGTGCTGCTGCACAGTCTTGTTCTCTGCAGAAAAAATGTGTCCTGCCTTGTTTCATGCATGAGTGTGTGAGCATGCCCATGGCGATGTATTATGAGCTTTGTACCACTGGATTGGCCCTCATGCTGGAAGAGCGTGCTGCAGGGAAACAGAGCATCGCCGTCGTACCCATAATATGCGTCGCTGCACTTGCACTGAGAGTGAACAGGTCGATGCCACCAATTTGATCAAAAAGAGACACAAGAATGGCATGAAAAGAAACAAAGCCAAGATGAAAAATATCAGAGACCTCCTCATAATCACTCTGTAATATATCCCAAAAGTACTGCTTTGAGATTATCCACAGATTAGGCAGTCCACTATTCTGTCATTCATTGAGCTGTTTTTTTTTTTTTTACCTAATTTAACCTGATTCCAAACTAGGGTGTTACAATACTGGAAATTTACACTCAATACTGATAGAAAGGAATGTATTTGATTCTATTTTGAAAACCCACAGGGGACAAATGACAAAAACATAAGGTATTGCAAAAAAAAA